GAGGGGGGTGCAGGGTGGACTTTTTCTCTGGCCCATTTTCTCCCTTAAAAATGGGGGTCATAATGGTTGATTGGAAATATTTTAGTTTGGGGTAGGGGGAGTCAGCTGACTGAAAGATGTGTTATGTTTAAAATATTATTTCAAAATGTAAAATCCCCTTATAGCCCCCCCCCCCCAAACCATAAAATATGCAACTCGGAGTGTCCCTAGACCTTTATAAATAGGCATAATTTTCCCTCTTTTCAGACCATGTGTGGTTTCCTAGATTTGTCATGTCTTTGTTTTAAAAATTGGTTGCACAAGTTGAGACACCTGCATATGACTCAAACAAAGAATCTTATTCTGAAAAGAAAAGCATTGTCTGAAATTGGAAAACATTATGCCCAAGCCGTAAAGATTTATTCATCCTTGGTTTAATAATTGGAATCAAAATAAAAAAGAACACATGGTAATGTTTAAATATTTTTCTTTCGTCCCTCCCTCCCCAGCCCCCTTTCCCAGGGACTTTTGACTCGTAACCAATCTTCCTCAACCAATCGACACAGACAGAAAGATGGACAGTGACCAAGGGAAATAGAGGGACTTAGCTCGCAGTCTAAATCAAAATACTTTCATTAAATCATTAAATATTAACTGCACACTTTGTGATATAGGGGACCAGAAGGAACATCATTTGAAGGGGGCGTGTTCACCACCCGTTTGACATTCCCTCATGACTATCCCTTGAGTCCCCCAAAGATGAGATTTGTAGGGGAGATGTTTCATCCAAATGGTATGTATTATAGAATAAATAATAGGAATCATATGTAATTACCTTAGACGGTTACCGGTCATGTCGCCCCCTTGCCATGACGCCCCCACGTATACCATGACGGCCCCACATATACCATGACGCCCACAGTCTGTACTACCATGACCACCCAGCATAAACCATGATGCCCCTAGTCTCTATTAATACTTATTTAATAAGAAATTTAATGATTTGAGTTATATTTCATCGTATAAATCCAAGAAATACAAAAAAATAACGAAAAGGAAAAAAGTTGATAACAAAATTTTGTAAGTAATTTCAATGAATTATTCGTAATTCAAGTTAGTATGCCGTAGTTGCCATAAGAACGCTAGTGATCTTTCCTATTATTGTTTCGCTTACACATAAGTTCTTTTCAGCTTCTTCTTGGAAACTAATCGCACTTGGAGTGCGACTAGCTTTGCCTCTTTGTAAAGAAAGCTCTATCAACAGGTGCAAAGGCAATTGAGTCTTTCCACAAGCCTGTCGATTTATGGCATAATTGTGCCAGCCCTCAACATCGTTGTTAGTTCGTACTGCTCTCATATATGCAGTCCAGTTTGCAGGGAGCCAGATGGTACTCTTTATCCATTTTTTTTTGTAGTATGAAACCATCTGTTGGAACTGGTGAACTATCCTGCCAGTGGGGAGGAAGGGCAGGGCCATAAGTTTTCTAACGAATCTGTATGTGGCGTTATCATGCTTGTATGCACTTTGTAGGCCAAGCTCTTGAACCTATGAAAGAATTAAAGCACTGTAAATTAACATTGGTTACAATTTTCCATCCACGTCATGACATTAGCTTTTGTATGTATACCTTTCTCCAAACAGCCTGAGTCAGGTGGAATACACATCCGTGCATGGAGGCTTCAGGGAATACCTCCCAGCAAGCTTTCCATGTGGACTTTTCGAAATTAACCATTATTCCTTTGACATTTGGGTCATAGGGTAACACTTCACGGACCTATAACAGAAAGATAAGAATAAAAATCGGTGAAATCTATGCAGATACTTTTAAAGCATATATTTTCAGACGATATTTACTTTCTTTGTGTCGACATATAAATATAACACATGAATACAGTCAATTCAAAAAATGTTGTCGTCGACCAACTCAAGCCTACGCGACTGGACCGAAAAGAACTCTGGGTAGCAATCATTGAAGCCGAGTTGACTCCATTATTTTATCTGACTAGTTATGCCTGGTTTACAGCACGAACCTTCGTAGGCGAGCGGGAAGAGTTGAAGGAGACGTTTTTTTAATGCCTTCATATTTTCGGAATTGTGAACTGAATCATAACTACTTGGTTTTTCTTTCCCTAAACCCAAAGACATGCAATTGATGGATTTTTTTTCGCCATTATTATCTTATTACTAGTGGCAACAATTAATTCAGAACGAATATTTAACCGCTTCAGTCGCGTAAGCTTGAGCCGGTCGACGACAACGTTTTTTGAATTGACTGTATACTGTTTAGTGAATGATGATTACCTTTTGCAAAACTTTGTGATAATCTCTGGTTTTTCGACCAGACATTATAATAAACATGACTGGTACTTGCTTCACACACTTATCTCGAAGTACAAAAACGTTAATCAAAAAAAGTTGTGTGAAGGGATGGCAACAAAGTTTAAATGTGCCATCCATATACCAGGCTTCTGCCTTCGCAAGGAGCTCCAACTGTTCCTTAGTTGCCAGTATGAAATGACGGCGTTCTTTTGCAAGAACGTCGCCTTTCAGAAAGCCAGCTGGAATGTGCTCTTTTGCCAAATCAAAGTTCAGGTCTTTGGGGTTTTCAGGGCGTAGGGGTTGTCTATGTCGGTTGGCTGCACGGCAAATGTTTGCAACAACAGTGTTCCCAAACAGAGTTGCGCCCATACCAGTGGAGTAACCATACTTCTTGGGATTCAAGAACAGGCAGTTTGCACTATGCACAGATATTGGACATGATAAGAATATCACTTGTAACAGGAGAAATCGCTTTTCAATGCTGTAAAATGTTTGTAGACTGGGGGCGTCATGGCAAGGGGGCGACATGACCGGATACCCCTTAGACACACCTGTCACTAGTGTAAAAAAGTATACTTACTTACTGTGCAGACACACTAACCAGGTACACTTCAATAAAACTGACCAATCAGATAACAGTAAATCAGACAGAGATTGAACTGATAACAGCGTTAGCCAATCAGATTATCACGTTCTCACACTCTTATTATGTTAATGCATTATCTCATTGGCTGGTTAAACATATTGAACTAAATGTTGCAGTATGATTGGTTATGAGTGTTGATAAAGGGTGGTATAGGGGTATAGACTAGCCTCTCAATTCCAGGGCTTTGTTTAGATACCTGAACTCAGCATCACATGTGAGTAATTAAGTTTTCTGGGTCTCTTACTTGATTCAAGGGTTTTTCTTTGGTTCTCCATTGGTTTTCTGGCATTTGCAAAACCCAACAATGTCATGCCTATAGTATGCTTAATTCCCAAAATTCAGTCTGACTTAGCCATTCCCTGATTTGGATCAACACAGAGTTTGTTTGGCAGTGCAGTATAAACTGATATTGAAGTATTTGTTTTTCTAGTGTATCCTGATGGAAGAGTTTGCATTTCTATCCTCCATGCTCCTGGAGATGATCCCATGGGATATGAAAGTAGTGCTGAGAGATGGAGTCCTGTCCAGTCTGTAGAAAAAATACTTTTATCTGTCGTAAGCATGTTAGCAGGTATGGAGTAACTTTGGTAGAAACTTGAAAGTTTTTAGCTCAGTTATTGCTTGTTTTCATAGTTGGTGGAATTTGACAAAAAACGTGTATACCCATGCAATATACCCATGACCAATGAATTGATAGTAACAAATGTAACAAACCTAAGCTCTAAATATTATATCATTTGACAGAACCAAATGATGAAAGTGGAGCAAACGTTGATGCATCGGTAAGAATATTTTAGGAAAATATTTGGGAGTATATTTGTTTATTTTGAAGCAAGCTTGTTGTGGACAGGATAAATTGAGCGTATAAAGAAAAAAAAATTTATCTAGGTGGATTACAATTATTCTCAACACTTTCAACCATACATAGTGTATTGGTCTTCAACTCCCAGAGATTTTTACATTGACATGTTTACAAAAATATGAATAAATTTATCTCTATTTGACACCCCCTCTACAGGAATTATTATGCTTTCTATGTTGAGAGCTATGGATAGTTTCTTTCTGTCTATGACTAATTTAATTACCTAAGTATTTGAAAGCTGACTCATTCTTTTTGTTTAAATGCTAGAAAATGTGGAGAGAAAACAGGACAAAGTTCAATGAAATTGCTCAGCAGATAGTAAGGAAATCACTTGGATTATGATGGATGGTGGTATGCTGCAGAAATGCTGTGAATCTGTGTCCTAAGTTTGAGAATGCTGAGCAAGCAGTAATTTTAGAGCGACTGCATATGACCTTGAATTAGATAGAGTGCATACCATATTATATCTATGAAAAAGTTGATTTTTGTAGATTTAATTTGGCCCCTGAAACACTAAATATTATTAAAATGATTTTAAAAATAAAAATACCCCACCCACAGAGGAATTTGGAATTTCCAAGGGGTGGGGGGAATCAGAGAAAGAACAAAATTACAGAGTTTGTATGGAAGAAAATTGGAATTTCCAGAGGTAGGGTCTTAGAAAAAAATTCCTCCGTGGGGGAGGTATGGATAATGTCTGGAACTACACGATATAATCAAGGACACTAGCTCACTGCAACAAAGAAATTAGAAAGCAAAACAAGGATACTTTGTATCAATCATAATTAAGGCTTCAAGCAACATAATACTAAGGTAAAGCAAGGAAAATTATTAAATTATTACATATAGTCCCAGTTAAATTTATTCCATCCAAGTTGTCTCCAGGCTATTAAAGCAGATGTCCTTGCGTCAACACACGATTGGTGTGTCATAACCCTGAGAGTATCTGCATACTAAAGTAGTACACATACTCTCCCTGTGCTCTCCTCTATCTATGTAGAGAGATTTTTGAGGGATTCAAAAGGTTATTTATTTAGTGAAGTTTTCTGTCATTTGTACTGCTGGGGTGAAGAACAAGAAATAACCAAAAAACTGCACAGGAATCCCTCATTGGGTATAGGGAGGTTTAACATTGGTAATGTCAGTTTATTTTCTGGAACTACATACATATTTGAATAGTAAAAAAGTACAGTGGTTTGCAGACACTGAACAAACTGCTTTCAAAAGCACTGATGGTTGGCCATGAGCAATGTATTTTACCCTTATGTATGCCTGTGAAAAGTGGCTGGCCACGACACAGTCAGGGAACATTGGTTAAGCTCATTGCAGAGCTCAATCAGGATGCTGCACATCCAGGCATGGCACAACACATCGTTATCATGAGTATTTATTTTACAGTCATGTGCAATCTATTCTATAACACGGTGGAACAGGGGCTTTGGCATCATGTTTCATGCATAATAATTTTTAATGTTTCTAAAAATCACATATCACATGTAATTTGACACAAAAATGGATCACCAAATTGAATTGATTATTTCACAAATCACACACATTTCAAAAAAAGAATGTCACACCACATGTACAGTAACCTGGAATTCACAAACCATAGTCTACATTTTGCTATTTTCACATATAAAGCACTTATTTTAGCCAAAATCATGCGTCACACATAATATAACCAGTGTCACCCTGCTATGTACTTATTCTATGGTAGTTTAAAAAACTGAGGTGCACAAAAGGAGCTCTAGGTCTGAGCAGTGTTTATCTTTTTACTAGAAAAATGTAAATGAGACATTAAAAATACAAAAAGAATTCGAAATATTGTCCTAAAGTTTGTGATTATTGATATAAACAAATGCCACAGATTGTAGAGGCAAGAACTTTGTAGGTTGGGCCTATGACAGTTTTGGAGAGAGATGATAGCCCCAAGATGGTTACCATACATGTACCCTTGCTTGATCCTGGTTGGCCACACACTACCTGATTTTGGCCTGTGATTTTAATCTGGGCATAATCCTTATTTCAAACCTTGTTTCATTCTCTTGAGTATCATTTCTTTGTTTACTGGTAATGTTTAAATGCAGTCCTTAGAAGTAGTGTAGAAATGCGTTTTTTTATCAAAGACAATATTTTCATGCATTCCCATGTCAAAGAAATGGCTTGTTCATGGAATGTAATTATGATTATGTGCATGTGTTTGAACTTGTTTTCTTTACGATGGATGAAGCTTGTATTTGAAGCAGAGGCAAGCACTTATACCCATCTTTGATTGACTTCAACTGTAATCATTGTATACATTGGTTCTTCTTTTGTTTTGAGCACTTTATATTTGAGGCTGTTGAGACCATCCTTCATCATCCTTATTCTTGAGTTGCGTAACTTAGCTCCACTGTAAGATAAAACGTTTGAATGATTCTAAAAGACTTCTTGCATGATGGCATCATTTTATTACTCCTAGAAAAATGCTTTACAGATCTTTCTTATTCAAATTAATTGTATTTTCTCGGGCTTATACACTCAATTGAAGAATCATTGTCAGGTTCAGAAACATAGAACTTTAGGCCAAAATGGCACATGGGAAGTACGTTAATTAGATGCATGCTGTGACCGGCGACCCGTGGCATCATCCACTGTTTTTAATATGTGTTTAGCATTCTAAACGGACTGCATGGATGGCACAAATGAATAAATTATAATATATTAATTATATAACCCTCACTAGCGTCCAAAACGTTAGTTTTTTCATCTGTTTACAGTGTATAATTTACCTTTTTATCATTACTGTTTCATTAGAAACACCGATGCAGCTTACACTAGTTTTTAGCTAGTTATCTTTTCTTATAATATAATATGTCATTTCCCATGTGCCATTTAGGTCTCAGCTTTATGTTCTATGTTTCTGAACCCGACAACGATTCTTCAATTGAGTGTATAACTCAGAACTAGAGAGCATGCATTCCATGTATAAATATTTTTACAAACAGGGACAATTACGGAAAATTGAATCCTTAACTAAGTATTAAACATTAGTATTAAGTATTTGTTCATTAAGCAAATGTGCTGGGAGAACAGTTCATGTTTGTTGATGGAAATATATTAAAAATAAAATATCAATTGAAATGATTAATAAGTTTTTCGATTCAATCAAGTAACTATTACTTTGCTGCCTTCCTTGACAACGCCAGAATTTGTATCCTTAATTATTGGAAAATGATGAATGCATACAGCCTAGTGCTCTAAGCATTAACCAGTGTTAACTTGGCAGCATTGACTGTTCTACATGTACTGTAACCATTGTATAAAGGGGCTGCTCCTTTACTTCTAGTAGCTTGTAGTTTAGAGAGCTAAGGCCATCTGAAGCCATTCGAGCCACAGCATTTCTTATCAGATCAAACCTGATGTAGAGAAGGTAAAGAGGTTTGGTTTTACGCATCAGTTTTTTATTTGTCAAAATAATGTATTGGTGCAAAGTCTGGTTTTACATTAGATGCCAGTACAGGAATCAGTACTACAAATGCATAGTTTGGCTTCTCTATGCTGCAAGGGAAAGAAGTTACTGATCTTGTGCTTGCAACAGCATGGTAGTAAAAATCAGACTTAGAGAAGAATAACATTAAAAAGTGTAAGGAAGTTCCTAATGGCTAAACCAATATAACAATTACTTGATACAATCAAAACTTCAAAAAGCTGTGATCAATCAAGATTATATTTCACATTTCACGAGGTGTATCTGCACAGAGGCTGATTCAGAATTTGATAAAATTGATATTTTGTTTTCCTTCATCGCAAACATGAACACAAACCCAGCATACTTATTTTCGATCTATATCTTTGTATCTAGCAAGTACTAAATAATTTTAGGCTGCATTCATAATGTACTGTGTGGGG